AGGAGAGTGACTTGATTAAGTTCATAACTAGGACTGTGAATTGCGCAACCAAGTTCTCATGTATTCGCGGATTTAGGGGAAAGTTGGATGAGGTTTGGAGTCCGCGACAGTGGCATGTCAAAAAAATTTGGGGATGTGGTTATGACAGAGATGAAGAGTGGCTTCAAATTCTTGAGTTGGAAAAGGCAGGAATTCAGGGACGAATGAAGTCATTTGTATTTATAAAAATCATTCTCTTTATAAAAATGATTCTCCCTGCACTTTTAACTTAATCAAATTGACTTTGAAATTTGAATGAAGAAAAATTCCAATCAACCAGCAGAAATTTTCACGATTTCCGCTAATATTGCAGGGAAAATATTTCATCGGTTGAATTCAATTCATTTCAGAAGTTTTTTTATTCTCTCAGAGTATTAAGAACCACAACAAACCTATTGCAATTATCCGTCAACTAAACTTGGCGCAGTATTCATGAAGATTCTCTTTAAGTTGACAGGAAAAAAAAATTCCGTTGGCCGTAGAATTTGTTCCCTCACTCATTTAATCTCTCTCCTTATGAGATGGAGAGTCACTCGCAGATGGGAGAAGATGGGGACCAACTCACGCTGTATATTTTCTTCTGAAATTAAGTTGTGGATTACGGAGCCTGAAAAATGAAACTCCACACCTTTCTCCAGGATTTTTTTTCCCTAAGCTGAGGAAACAAAACGTGATAATTATAAGTCCTAAATTGATTACAGTCGCACAATCTCAGATATTAGAATTCGGGATAAAACGTAATGTCAGATGTCCATTTATCAGTACTGAAGGAGAACGAAGAAAAAATGAAAATCATAAATGAATGACACTGAAGTCAATATTTGCACCAGTGGATATTTACTCTTCAGCAGAAATACGAGATCGACATACATTCGACGAAAAAAGCATAGGGTTTTATTTATTCGGTATCCTTCCATCAGTAGATTACAAAAAACGAGGGTTTACTAAAAAACCGTCGTCCCTCTATTTCCATAAAATTCACATATCTGGGAAAAATACAGTTGTTCCTCGAATAAAAAAATAATAGGACTTATTCATTCACAAGGAAAGCAAAAGAGTTTAACTCATCGCATATTTTATTCCCAAATTAATAATGTCAATTCAATTAAAAAAAAAACAATTTATTAAAAAATCGTTTTGCTTCTATTTTTATGAAATTCACGTGTATGGAAAATATATAGCTATTCCTAAAAGAATAATAAGACTTATTGATTCACAAAGACAGCAAAAAAGTTCAACTCAACGCATATTTTATTCCCAAATTAATAATGTCAATTCAATGCAAAAAAAAATTTACTAAAAAATAGTTTTGCTTCTATTTTTATGAAATTTACGTGTATGGAAAATATACAGCTATTCCTAAAAGAATAATAAGACTTATTGATTCACAAAGACAGCAAAAAAGTTCAACTCAACGCATATTTTATTCCCAAATTAATAATGTCAATTCAATACAAAAAAAATTTACTAAAAAATAGTTTTGCTTCTATTTTTATGAAATACACATATATGGAGAATATTCAGCTATTCCTAAAAAATCATAAGACTTAGTCATTTATAAAGAAACCAAGAGTTTAACTCAACAAATATTTTATTTCCAAATTAATAATCTCGGTTAAATGTAAAAAAAACAACTTGTTAAAAAATAGTTTTGCTTCAATTTCCATGAAACTCATATATAAGCAGTTATTCCTAAAAAAAATAACTTATTCATTCGCAAATAAAGCAAAAGTGTTGAACTCAACGCATACTTCATTCCCAAATTAATAGTCTCAGTTGAATGCAACCGCAGCCCCAGCAGCAATTGCATGCGTCAACCAAGTTGCACGCGAATAGCCCCACTTTGGCGATTAGTCTCACGCAGTCATTTACTCAAAGCCGTTAGCAAGTCAAATTTTCGATATTTTGACAGGTTAGTGGTGTTGTAAGGAGATAAATATGCTGGTAACGTGCACAGAGCAAATGAATCCGTTTCAGAGCTGAAAACTCGATGAAGTGAGAGAGTTAATTCTCGTGACTGAATGCACGTTATAGAAGTACGTGTTCCAACGTTTCTAGAGTACCCTCACCAAATGGATTGCGTTTGTATATATATATCGATCGAGTTAAGTCATCCGCACGATTTTTTTTGCTAAATCTGTGGACGAGAGAGTTTCTCGCTGCAGATCACAGTCGAAAATTCTGTGGAATGACTCGGGGCGAGAGTGAAGAGAGGAGGATAAATTGAAAAAGTAAACTCTGGAGGGGATCCATTCGTTTTTTAGTTATGCATTGAAAGGGAATAGATTGCATGTTAGTTCTATACATTTTCAATGGAGTTGTGAAAGAACCATTGCTGCAACGGTATCTGTTTCATCGGGTACTTTTCAATCGGAAATTGTTGGAAAGTGAATGGACGCGTTTTACGCAAAGCCACTGTTCACTTCCCACGGAAATTATTTGTCACAGTTCAACCTCTGTATTCATATTGTTTGACCTGTTGTGATAACTGTTGTCGATGGATTTAATGATGAACGTATTCTAGGGATGACTGAAAGTGAATAATTGGCGCTGCAAAGTGATGAGCTTTTACAGTGGGAAATATTTATTTTATGGTTTCTCTCTGTATGCTTCTTGGAAATTTTTATCGAGTCATTTTTATTGGTTCGATCATCACATTTTGATGAGAAAATAGCGGAAATTCAGGGAATAATTTTAATTTTCAGAGAATAATAGAATTGATATTTACAGTTCTCATTTTTTCCGTTAGATAAAAAAAGAAATAAAATAGGATAAAAATTTTCGTCCAGTGTACCGGAAATTTCAGCCAAAAAATTTCTAACAGGGCAATTTCTACAAAATCTTTCTCTCCCTGTATCCAGTTATTTTTTAAAAGGATCGTTCATAGAGATATTAGTGCAAAGTTGGAAATTCTCCAGCTGTGACCTCTCACACTCCAACGAAAATCGACATTCATCCTTATGGTCACATCCAGAGGGTGGCACGTAGCGAATCAACGTAGCTTATTCAAGAACTTTTATGGCGCCCACAGAGTAATTTTAAAGTTCGAACGAAGTCTTGTGTGTATAATGGGGTTAGGTCTTTGCGGCATTTGAGATATTCCAGGGGAATATGTAATCAATTTCTTCTAACCCTCATGAAGTGTTGGATTAAAATATTCATGGCGGTGGGAGAGAGGAGATGGGGAGAACGGCTTATCTGAAGTTCGATTTATGCGAGATTCGGAATTACGGAGTTCTAGATTTTTTTTTTCGCTTTGTCAAGTTGACGGTGGAGCTCTCCAATCCGTCGTATGTTTTCCTCGTTAGACCGGCAGTCCGATGAGTGTTGAATCATCAAGTTAGAGCTTGTTAACGTATGCCTTTCAGTCGGGCGCTGATGGAACTTGGAAATGAACGAGGAAGAGTGGTGATTTTAGACGGTTGAAGATTTTTGGATGAAATTTCCGAGACAATTCTTGGAAAGTCTTATCGGATTATAGTTTCACTGAACTTCAGGGGAATTTCGTCGTTGACAGTTCAAAATTTCAGTGGAAGATTAACTGTAACTGTGAATTTCAGTTCAATTATTCCAAGAAAATTAATGGAAATCAGGAAATTTCAATTAATAAAATATAAAATTCAAGGATAATTTCGTAATAAATATTCACATTTTCTTTGAAAATTCAAGTGAATCGGGAAATTTCGTTTTTCAGCTGCTCAAAAATAGGAAATTTTATTAAATTTTCGCGTGAAATTTCATGATTTTTTTTTCATCTCCAAAACGAACTTAATAGCAGTCTCATAAAAATTACTAGCCAACTGTTTATATAATTATAAATTCGTTTCGCTAATTTATAATTCTTTAATTGAATTTTAAATTCATTATCTTTTCGACAGTTTAAGGAAATTGCGTGCTCCAATTCGAACTACGGTTACTCAGAGAACAAAAATTGTGTAAGAATTTGAGCTGATGAATATCCGCTCGTGTGATCAGCACGTAAGATCCGGAGTAAGGGAGCGAGCAAACTCTCTAATGTCGTCGCTGCTCCCTTTGGTCACGAATATTGTTGTTTATGATGATTAAATCTTATTGCGTCACTGCGTGCCGGAAATATAATGAACGTGAAACGTGAGTTACATTTGACTTCCCGCACACGCAGAGACGCCAATCCCGTTTATTAGACATGTACGCTCAGAGAATGGGTTTCACCAAATCGAACAGCTTTATTTGAATAATGTAAATGGATACATTTGAATAGTTCTTTTGAGCTTGAACTTGATTCTTGTTTGTGTTATTATCAACATCAGTTTTTTTAATAAATAAACGAATGTTTCTTTGATCCAAATCAAGACTTTATCAGGCAGAAATGAAATTATTCTTTGGATGGCGAAGAGAGAGAGAGAGAGAGAGTTCATTAGTATGTAAAATCATTTATTTGATTTCAATACAAAATTTATTTGGAATTAAACTATTTGCATTTAAATAAATAAGAGTTTATTCATTTTCACCGATAATGTCGTTGAAATGAACAGAAAAATAGTTAACAACGAGATTCATTCAAATTCAATTTCTTTCAGAAATTTCTTTTTGAAAATTTATACTGTTTTATAGTTCTATTGAAATTTCCAGGATTTTGTCATTGAAAATTCAAGATTGTATCGAAAAATCTGTGGAAATAGTAAATTTCAGTTCAATTATTCCGTAAAAATTGATAAAACTCCGGAAAATTCTCAAGTATTTGCAGTTTCATCATTATTCTCCCCCCAAATCAAATTCAAGGTCCTTCTCTCGAAAATTATGAGTCAACCGTCCATGAAAATTTAATTTTTTTTTCCATCACTCACGGCAATTTCAATGAAAATCCCCTCAGATTAATGCAATATAATATCTCAAAATGTACCTGTTTTATTATATTCCAGGTGACTCTCCAGCTTCATTCAAGTGGCCATGTAATGATTTTCCCTGCAAGAAGTTGGCCAACAAAGGTGCCACTCATGCAGGTGTGAATCGCGGCGTTCTCTTCTCTGCTTCTGGTAAGTCACTCTCATACACCGTTCTTCACTGTGCAATAAAAATTTCCAGCGACTTAAAAAATAAGTCCCTACCTACGCGAAGTTTTCCGCTCACTCGAGCAAAATGAACGCTTATTTCCGCTACTCTGACGCGCCGTGTGCAATTTTAAATCCTCGAATGATTTAAATTTGAATGCAGTGGGGATGCAAAATGTCGTTGAGAAATTTCCATCACTTTTTTTCGAGCGGTGGCGGGGGGGGGGGGGAGATGTTGTGAGATACGAAGCAGGAGTTTCCGGTTTTCCTCGACATTTGCGGGGAGTTGGCGCACCAGAGCTCATGCGAATTGTTAGTAGGGCAGTTGACCAGGAATCGATTACCTCATCCTACGGCTCTCGCGGTTCCTCCAAACGTTCACACTTTTTTCGGGGGGAAAACGTATTATTGAGAGAGGAATTTTCAACAGATGATTTTGTGGTATAGGCCGCAGTTTCTTTCGTAACCCTTCGGGGGAATTTCGCAAGCTTCGTGTCAAGCTTGAGCGCAGGCAACCTCCAATATCTTTTTATCACGAGAAAGTCGACGATTTATATTGAGAGTAGAAATGAGGTGAGAAAATTGAGGGATCACGGGCGTTTCGCTTGTGTGGATTATTTCTCGGTTTGAATTTCGACCGATCGAAATGCAGAATATGACGTTTTTGCCGGTAAAATTTATGCAGTCTACAATAAATGCTACGCAGGCGTGACGCAAGCTTGCAATTGCCAAAATAATTGTACAAACAATTGAATGATTGTTTTTAACAATTGGGAGCATCGGGTTAGTTCAAGAAAATTTTGGAATAAAATCATCGAAATATGTCTACTTCACTCCTTCGATAAGTTTTTAATGCAGCACAGCGATTACGGAATCGACTCAGAAAATTTAACTGACGGTATCGTAATTTTTCGCAGGAGTTTCAGATAAAAATTACGGAACGCTCTGGAAAAATTCCGTGACAGTTCCGTAAAATTTCCTACAACCACATTTCGCTCCGGAATTACGGAGAAGTTACGTAATTTTTATTCAATATTTCTCCCCGTGCATTTCTATTAGTTGACATTCATCTAACGGAATAATTAGTGAAATTATAATATGATAAAAATTGCTAACAAGTGCCCCAGAAAATTCACTTGAAAAATTGTTAGCAGTGCAGCTTCATACAAGTGAACCATTACCCCAGCAATTTACTCGTCGTGTACGTTCGATTGAAGTAATTTCATCTGAAAAATTGACCATACAATCCCCGCGTCAAACTCAATTTTCGTTCTTCCCTTCACTACTTGTCCCCCTCTTTTTTTTTTCGTCGTTTGAACTCGCCTCTCTTTGTCCACTCGCCAAATAAACGAAAAGACTCTTCAGCCCTTCTCTGTAGTCTACACAGTTTGTCCTCGCCCGACTGTACAACCCCTGAATCCCTGAAAGGTTCGGAGTGCACGGAGTGGAATGAGGATAGCCTGAAAGAGATCCCGATACTATTTTCCTTTTTTGCCATTAAATTTTTCTCCTTGTCATTCAAATTACGCCGCTCATTGTCAATTCACTGTGTGGCTTTTCCACCGAAATACGTCGTGTTACACTGGCATATTCGATGCAAATGTCGACTCATTCAGTAATTCTCGATGGTTTTGCGGAGTAATCGATACTCGCGCTATTTCTGCTATGAATTTTTCATCAGTTTTCCTTCAGGAATATTTTGCCATTTGTTACCTTCACTGCCGTCCATTTATCTATTCCCCGGATGGAATGATTTCTCACGTGAACCGGGAGAGTAAAAACTTTACGATGGGAATAATGGTGTCTTGGAGAAACTGAAGAGTCGTTTCATAAAATGGTAATATAAAGAGGCCAGTGGGCGAGTGGTTGACGATGGTAAAGTGTAAAATGCAATTCATGTCTATGGCCGAGCTTTTTGCTGAGGAAACTCGTTGGATGAAGTCACATTTCGTTGACAAAATGGTGCCTGTGATGCATTAGTGCTACTTGATGTAAAAGTCTTTGGGGAGATTTCAGGGGAAACGGTTATGGGAGGCGGGGGCAGCATGGGGCTTTTCAAATGTTCACTGTTGCTTTCAAAATCTCGGGGTCTTTCACTGAATTTTACCATTTTACCTCGTTACCTCGTTGGACTGATGCAGAAAGAATAAAATTTCATGCTGAGAAATTGCTGTTTTCATTCATTTTTTTTCTTCAGTTTATGAATTTTCAATTGTAAAATTCCTTGAAATTCAAGTGGACCTGATATTTCAGAAAAAAAATTGCAACACCATATTTTATCATCGAATTCAGGTCCTTTCCCAGGGATTTTCCCTTTAAATTACAGCGGGAGAATGTCTTGTTCTAAGAGGACAATTGCCACTCTTCTCCATCCTCAAACATATTAAAGACCACGTGGAACAGCTTCATTAAAGTAAAATGGATTTTAATACAAAATCAGAGAGCTGTTGACACCAGAGAGGGAAGGAGCATTTCCAACGGAGTAGATTGTTGAGCCAGACACTGCAATGGCCCTCGGGCTGTCTAGAGGTGCTCTGGCGACTCTCGTACTTTCCATGAACGTAAGAGATTAAAATGAAGGTCATAAAGATTACAGAAAAAAGAAAGAAGATTACAGAAAAGGAAATTCGAGAGCTACGGAAATGAGGAGATGTCGGTTCCACTGAAATTTTAGGGAATTTCGTAGTCGGAAATTCAGAAATTGATGAAAAAATCCATAGAAACGGTTCATTTTCGGTTCATCATTATGTGAAAATTGAGATAAATCAGAAAAATTAAGCGTAGTAGTCGCTTAATTTAAAAAAATTGACATTTCGTGTTTCTTCTTTTTAAATTGAATTGAGTGTCAATTAAATTTTAATTCTTTGCTTCCGCGAATCCCTAATAATTTGGAGACAGATTCCTGCGTGTTAGTGACATGTCCCTGAAAATTAAATACTCTTTTTCCAGTGACAGATTAGCGATGAATATCAATGCAAATTTTCTTCTATGTGCCTTCTGATGGATGGAGTCTCTTTTTCATTGTTCAAAGCTAGTTTAACGATTCCCTCTATCGTACGATTGGGAAATGCTTCTTGATAACGTTCAATTCTTCTCGAGGTAAGCCCATTTGTGTAGCGGATGTGGAGTTCACTTAGTCACTGAAGGTAATTCAGCAGCGGGATGAGAAATGGAACAAAAATGGAGATTGAAAATATAAATAATTCTGAGGATTTATTGGGAGAGGAAGTATTGCTGGGTTTTAGGGCGTTTCACCGAGGGGAATAGGCTCCTTTCCCTCCTGCAATTGAAAATCATCATTCGATGACAAACGGCGTCGGGGAATATTCTCCATTTTATTGTTATTCTGCGGCGAATGAGAAAGAAGTGAATTTAATGCGCGACAAAAACATTAAACTATCGTCGACTCAATCTCCGACACCAATTTATCGGACGATCGCACTTGGCAATAGTAGTTTTCCCGCATAGCTCGAGGCGCGTATGCTCCAGTGCCATCAATTACTCCCCAGAGACCGGTGTCCAGTTATTTCCTAATTGCGAGTTTTCTCTGGTTCATACGAAATCTGAGTTCGTAGTCTGAGTCCCTGGTGATTTCTCTGCATTCTGACTTCTACTTGTTCATCTGATATGTATAATTATCTCGTTTTCACTGGAGACTTGCGCGAACTTTAAAGTGATGGGTGAATCGTTGATTTGGGATTTTGTACTGTTAATGCATTACACGATTAGAATTATTCGATATTTTTAATGGGTGACATTTCCACTGACATTTTAGGAAATCTCGGCGTTGAAAATTCACAGATGTCTCATGATTTGATGATAAAGTCAGTGAAAACTGGAAATTTTCATGCAATTAAAAACTTTAAGGATGCGTTTACCGGAATTTTTCTGATTTATGTTCATTTTTACAGAAAATTTGAATTAAAATTTACAAATTTTTCATCTGAAACATTTTTAAAGCTGTACAACTGTTAGGGAATAACCGAAATTTCGTGGATAGTTCAGTGGTAATTGAATTTAATTCAGTTTAGGAAAAAAAACATAATGACTGACTGAAAATTCATTTAAACGATCATTCAATAAAAAAATCCACAAACTGTATTCTAAATTTCAATCAAAAATGACTAATACTGGATTCTCAAATTTTTAATGAACAACAATACATGGAGAGAAATTTTCTAGAAAAATTCTAGTACGAGTACTGGAAAAAATCACAATCCACCGGCTGTGAAATATTCTAGTGTTGTTAAAGTAAAATTTCTTGGTATTTCTAGTAAAATTTCTGGGGATTTCTGTGAAATTTTCACAGAAATACGGGGAAAAATTCACGTTTTCCCCAATAAAATTTCTGTCACTTTCCGCCCCTTTTTCCGTGCTAGCACTAGAATTTTTCTAAAAAATTTCTCTCCGTGTATCAAGTAAATAGTGAAATGTCAGTATCATTTTTGCTTCACTCTATTTCTATCCAATCAAATTCTCCCTGAAACATGAAAATTCATAAGCATTTTCTCGCTAAATTGAATTCAACGTCACTCTCTTCTGAAAATCAATAATTGTTTTCAATAGTATATATGATACACCTCGGTCTGTCTAGAGTATTGAAATGCGAATGTTGTATTTAGATTTTTGTGAAAAAATTTGAAATAGAGAGGATGAAAGTACCGTGAGGGATTTCGGGTCGGGGAAAGGTTGCGGAGGTCGGGTTGCGGAGTTTTTATGGAATATAGCCCATCATATGGATACAAAAGCCTTTTGGGGTGCCGTGGTTTTATCCTGAAATGTTAACGCTCAGTTGAGATTTGCCCGAATTAACTCTGCGGTTTCCGGTTTATAACTCTGAGGGGGAAAACCGCTAATCTTCCACCCTGCCTCATTAAAAAATAGGATGGCATGGAAGATTGACATCTTTGCGGAAAATACTTTCACCTACATAACAGGGAGATTAAATTTGATGAATTATCCACTGTTATTTTTCATGCAATTTT